AAGAAAATATGTGTGTAACTAGCTTTGACGTGCATTTTCATTTCATCTTCATGCACATATAAATATCCTCTTTATTACTATCTCCTTGCCATGAGGCTTCACAAGTAAACACACCATCTATAAGCTCTTGTCTATTCGTTAACAGTCCAACATGGCGAAAGAGAAGTTTGAGAAAAGCATCGCAGCTATTAGCGATGTAAACTCCGACACATGCGACACTATTGGCCATGTCGTGAAACAAGAAATTCTTGTCTCAATAACACGCCAGCGTCGGAGTGAAGTTAGGATAGTTTCTGGCTCTGAATTTACCACTGGTGAGCATATGAGTATTTTATAGTAATATGTATTCGATCGAAAATATCGGTTTTTGTTTAGTATTGTCCGTTGGCGTAATTCTCGTCACCGCAGCTATTCTCGTACTCTTCATTCGGTATACCATTCAGCGTTATCGGAAGCATACAGCTATCGGTTCCAAGCAGCTTGAAGAAAAACCACCGGACGTTTGAACAACACATTAGCCTCGAACTAATCCTGCATCAGAATACAAATCACAATACCTTATAGAAAATGTCGCCAAGATGTTTTGCCTTTTAGCTAGATTCCTGTTTAAATAGCTTATATTGTAACACTTTGTCCGTTCTATTTATTAATAAATGATTCGACACATGTGCATTGAGTCTCTAACGACTAGGGATGAGCTAGATTACTCTACTCACGGACCCCTGGAACTGAGATCAGACCAACTTCTGATAGGCCGATTCCAAAACCTTATTTTTTGACACCATTAATATCTCGAGTGGCGTTGTGCTTTTTTGCAGAAGAAAAAATGTAAATAAGGTAGAAATGCAGGATAAATGTTTTATCTTTTCTTCAGACACTTCTTAGTCCTTGTTTAATACTTCTGCAATGCTTTTTAGTACACTACAAGTTTTCATCTCTGAAGAGAGAAGTACGAAAGTAAGCCTTGTTTGAATTACCTTCAAGTTCGCAACATTAAGAATGTGGATGTGGGTATGAAGTTACCATTTGCATTTTTTTTTTCGTTTTGAATGGTCAATTATTTTTTAAATGTTTCGTTTTAAAGGAAAAACCAATGAATAACTATCGATTTTAGTTAACAGATCAATGTTTTGTTGCATCCGCTATTTACAATGAGCTGTCTTGTTAGGATATGGTGTGAGAATGTTGATGTGTAATTTACTCACACTCCATGCCCCTCTCTAGATAGATAGTCATATGTCCCATTGTCATCAATACCCACACCGATATCTTTCGATTTGACGAAGGTTCTCAAATGAGTTCACATGAATTTCTTATGAATTCCTATTTGAATTTTCATATAAAATCATAATTGATATAATATAGGTCAACGTTGATTTTTGTGAAAGAAATTCTATCTTTTGTTTTGCTTAGCATAAAAGAAATCAAGTTAAGTTTATTCTAATTAAATTTGATATTTTTCCAAAGAAGGATATCGATTGTGACATATTTATAATATTTCTGTCTCCGTCCATGTCATCCATTTTGCATATATCTTGGCTTGAGAAAATGATAAAATCTTGAATTTTTGTTAAAGATACGTCATGAAAAGCTCTACAAAAAGTGTATGAACAGATTCGTATTGCTTTTTCTGATGATTTCTCTCGTACTCAAAAATACACAGCCTATATTATGATGTCATTTCCTATTGTATTGAGCAGTACAAAAATGTTCTGAAGGTATCGTTTTTTATTTTGCATATGTATCGGCTGTAAAAAAAAAGATAACATCTTAATTTTGTTTTTAAAAATGGACCATCGAAAATTCTACAAAAACTGTAATGCTTTATATGATGCAGCGTTGGAACCGGGACCGGACCGGACCGGACCGATAAATACCGGAAATTTACCGGTTTAAGCTTAAAAAATAAATACATATATGTCCAGAAAGTCTTTCGATAGTGTCAATATTAAAAATTTTGTTCAGTTTATAATCGATATTTATCGCGATGATTGTAATACTATGATAGACACGAAGACAATTAGGCATATGTTTTATCAGCTTTGAAATAGACCAGGCAGTATTATATAAATCAGTTAGGAAAATCTTAATATCCTTTTGAAAAAATGACGATGCTTTATGATTATAAAGATTATGCATATCTTTTCTAAAAGTTTCATAAAAAGTCAAATAATATTTTCTCAAGTACGAATATTGAAATTTTCTAAGATATGCTTATAAAAAAAACTATTCCTAGGTCGATTTCAATTTTTTGTACTTATGATACGAGGAGCTAAGTCATATCGTTTCAACCGTGTTATTTAAATATTAAATAATTCAATTTACAACTAGGAATAACTTTATCAATTTCTACCGTACTTTCGGATGTTTGGAACGATTTTTAAGCGGTAAGCTTGACCGAAAATGGACCGGTTTGCCGGAATTTCACCGGTTCAGAAATGATTAACAACCGGCCGGACCGGACCGTTTTATCTTTTTCTTACCGGTTCCAACCCTGCTATGATGGAATGTAGCACTATCATATAGGTTGTTGATTTTGAGTATGGAAAATACTGTCAAAGAATATCAATAGTGACGTGTTTATACAGTTTTTGTAGAGCTTTTCATAGTACATGTTTTTAAAAAAAATTCATGATTTTATCATTGTTTCAAACTGAGATATATGTAAAATCAAAAAATCTTGCGAATATTTTGACACGTTCGATAGATGTCTTACAGATATATCGAAGGACTTTCAAACAAGTCTAACTTGCATAAACTGAGTGTGTCAAAATATTAGTTTTATCTAATAGGCCATAATGGCCTGTTCATTAATCTCAACTCACATAACAAAAAAAAAAGAACAGCTGATTATCATATACAACTACTAAATAGAATAAATAAGAATTTATATAGTAGTTATACTTCAATGAATCTAATTGCAAGTATCACATACCCATTCATTTATCCATCGAAAGATGAAAGACATTGATGAAAAAAAAAACCCAGATTATAAAAATACTCTCTAACAATGTATTTACTTGAAATGTTTCATACAGTGTTCTATGATCAACAAAGAGTGTTAGATAGCACTTTAATTTAGATTTCTATTAGTTTATACACACAAGAAGTAACACAAAAATACTGCATTTTTTTGACAATATTAATTTCATTATTTGTTTGCTCTTCAACTAAATAAATCATTAAATTTTTTTGTCATATATATAATTTTCCTCCCTTTTTTTTAGAAACCGTTTATCATAGACTATAAAAGAATATTCCACAAGTTTTGACAAATATATTCAGAAATAATTACGTTCTATTTCATATATATCAGTGAATAATTATCATCAAATTTTGTTTTTTATTTAGTTTAGACACATCATTTTCTTCACTTTAAAAGTTAATATAGTGAAGATATATAAAATCGAGATTTCTAATAATATCTAGATGAAAACGATAAATTATTATTGATATTGTTTTTAGTTCTTTAATTATCATCTTATTTCTCCGTCGAATGGTGAAAACTGCAAGCTTTTAGTTGCTTTCGTTCTCGAGATAATTAAAAAATATCGAAGTACGTTATATTTTGGCACTAATAGTTGTTTATAATAAAATTCCTACTTTATAATAAATGACGAGAGCTATATCCAAAATCTTTTTTCTTCATATATTTGATGATAAAAAATATTAAGAAATTATCAATTTATTCTAAGATCTAATGTTAATAGTTAGAGAAAAAAGAGAAGAGAAATGATGATAACGTTTGAAAATGATGAGAATTAATGATTGTAATTTTTTTCTTTGTTTGTACATGTTTATAATCATGATCATTGTTGTTTAATCGTTTTGTTAAGCAATTTCTATTGGAAATAAGAATATTAAAAAATTACAACATGATGAATTTGTTAATGAAGATTTTCATATAAACAAGATTGATCAGAATATTTTCTCAAAATATGATATTTGTCGTCAATAATACAACATTGATTGTTTATTAAAAGTTTTATTCAAATCGATCTGTTTATAATTATAACAATTATTCATTGTTTGATAAAATTTTCAAATAAGGAAAATGCCAAATTACTTTTATCTAAAGTGAGGATTTACATGAGTTCTTCATATTCTTTAAGATATACAAGGTAGATAGTCAGGGCGACATTGATTTAGGGATTAGCATTCAACTAACAACTTTATTAAACTTGTTTAAAATAGATATTGGATTGACAAAAGATCAAAAGTTATTTGAAAATCTACAGAGAACCTATCGACAACTTTAAAAATATAACGAAAATTGCGCATGTTATTTGCTCCGTTGTTTAATCTTAACTTGATAAAATCTCCTATTCGTAAAAAATGCTCAGTTTTCAAAACTAAGTTCTTGCTGATAAAACTCTTTTGCTAACACTTTATTTTTATTTCAGATATTCGAAGTCAAAATTGAGTTATCGAAAGATCTTTAATGTCAAAAATGAAAAAAATTAAGATTTTGTTGATATAGATTTAAAAATTTTTGTATCTATCTCATGATTTAACACTTCCTGTTCGGCTCCAGAATTTTTGGAACCACCAAACTCTATTCGAATTCTTGATTGAATTTTGAAGTTATATTTCAATGAAAACTTTTTACATTCGTTCTCATATTACTTTCGATTTTGGATAGATTGATTAAAAGACCTTTTAAATGTATATAATATATATTTGAACTGCATCAGAAGAATAGTGTATAAAAGACAACAATCAGAACTCGAAACAGCGTAATATATAGTGTAGATTGCATAAACAAACATACATTAGATTATTGAAATAATAACCGAAATTATGTGAATCAAGGAATGGAAACTAATCTACTTATTGTCGGTCAACTTTAGTCTCATATAAAAAAAAAGATACTTTCGATATTTATAATGAATTTTAGCATTTTTTATTTTCATTCAAGACAAAATGACAATTATAAGCTTTGCTCAATCGATTCAAAAAAATAAATATATTAACATTTGAATTTTTTTTTTAAAATTATATTACATAAACATTGTTTTTCGGAAAAGATATTGAAAAATGGATTTTTTCGGAACATCTTGTTCGAGGTTTTTTACTATATAAACATATTTCGGTCGTTCATTTGATGGTAATTGTTTTGATAAATTAACTTCATGCTCTTCTAGTCGTCTAAATTTAGAAATCAATAAATAAAAAGCAAATCGATATGTTCTTTTTTTACTTTGTCAAATCTTCAATATCAACAAGAATTGAATCTTGTTCCATACTTAATGAATCTCGTTCAATTAAAAGATTAACTAATTCATTATTATTCACTTAAATACAAAACAAAAAAACTCATCTTAAATTTTATATAATAATCTTAAAATACTTTCAATTCGACAGTATAGATCATTAATAATTGCTTGTAATTGACCAATATTCATCTCTTTAAGTAAATCAATTGTTAATGATTTATCACCATTTGTATTGAGTCCAATCTTTAATATAAAGAATAAATAAAATGATTAAATTTTATTCGAATAATACATACAATGTCATAAAATGATGGACTTTTCTTTTGTAATAGTTGTCGTTCAATTTCAACTTGCATTCGAGCCATTTTTGCACCAAGTACAAGAGCAACTTTTGCTTCTTCCTAAACAACAAAAAAAAAATTTTTTTTTTTCTGTATTTAATAATAAGAATAATTACTTTTAGTTTTTGTTGTTTTATAAAAATATCTTCATTTGTATGGGTTATAGTAGAGGAATTTGTTTCATGAATTGATTTATTTGTTTGATTATGCTCATAATTTAAACCTATAGTTAAGAAAATTTTCTTACTTCTATTCTGTGCCATGAGAAACAATAAGTATTTAGACAACTAAATAGTTTTCTTATTTTATAGGAAATATTTCTTTTCTGTTCTTTTACAGTATGTGTTTAACATCTTTTTTTTCTCTTAATGGTTCTTTACTGAGTGTCATCCACTTTTTTTTTTCTTCATATCATCAATAATGCTCGATGACATTGCTTTCATTGAAGGTATTGATAGAATATTAGGTTCTTTTTTTTTTTTGTTACCTTGTTGATGTGTTGTAATGAATTTATTTTCGATGTAATCTTCATTTTCACATTCAGAATCATTACTGATAATTTCATCACGAGCCTTCAAAAGAATAATTGATGAATACAAAAAACAAAACAAAAAAATAAAGATTTATATCTCCAGTTTTTTTTTTTTCTAATTAGATATCTATATTTCAATATTACTTGCAAACATTCATGCCATTTCCAACGAGCTTTTTTATATACCATAATCGAAACAATAGTAAAAATATTCTGATTGACAAGTGAGTTTATTTTTATATGTTTATCATCGATTGCTATTCTTTTCCGGACAAGATGAAGAAAAGACTAGAAAGATTTTTTCCTTTTTTTTTTTTTTTTTGTTTCATTATCATTCTACCAGTATCGTCACTGTTGTCGTTCGATCAAACAACCGAGTCCGATGTTGACAACAAGCAGTTCTTTTGTCATCGGACCGTGAGTAATTTTATCATGCATATTATCAACATCTTATTTAAGATAGACCTTGAACAAATACTCAAATCTAAATTTAATTTTTGGATTTTTTTTTTGTTTTTGTTTTTTTTTATTCATGAGAAATAAAAATTCAATGTTTTAAAGATCAATAATATTTTCTTTTATAAAATATACTCAAATTGACAATAGAAAAAAAAAACATTGAAAATGATTATTGAATGAATTGAAAGTAGTACATTTACTTACTTTTAATTCTAATTGAGAATCAAATTTAATATTTTTATTATAAAGATAATACAAATATAAGTCCATAAAAAAGAAAGACTGTTAGAAATACAAAATTCTAATTGAGAATGACTCGAGCACTTTTTCTGTAATTGATGGAGAGAACGCGAGAATGAGATAAGAGACATCATGGTTCTTAATGGAATGACAATAGAGAGTGACCTGAATAAAAAAAAAGGAAGAGAAAATGATTATGAATTCTACTATATACGTAATATTTTATGAGCATTTTTTTTTTCTAAAAATACATAATGGTTGATAATTACTATTATTGTTGAATAGGTATTATTAATTTTTCTTTGTATAGATAATAGAATTATTTTAAAAGGTTGAATATTACATAATGATATTTTCAAGGTTCTATAGAAATGTCTGTTAATTGAAATTATTTTTCCTTTATGTGAATCATTAAATCTATTTTTTACTGTCTGATATCTTAGTTCAATGTATGTATGGCATTAACAACTTGTTTTATATTATAAAAATCATTCTT